GACAGATTTTAGGCAGCAGGGTAACCCAGATTTATATCTGATTGTTAGACATGGTATTTCACATTAATATTAGGTCAAGCTCATGGCTGTGGCCAAGGTCATGTTCCCATCTGCATGCAGCTCTGCCTTAACGACACTTTTCGTTTTGTATTTTCCTTCAGTATGTGTACGGTCAGTTGGCTTTTCCCACTGGCAAATGTTTTAATTATACTCCCGTTATCTTGTCGGGCCGTTTTATCATGCCAAGCCAGGCGCCGGTCTCTTTGTTGACCTGATAGTTTTTACAGACATGTGGTCGTTAGCACATACTCCGTTGGCGTTTGGTTCTTTCGAACCTTCGTAATGTTTCGCGGACAGCTTAGTTGGAAACTGTCTAAATGAATTGTCTGGTACCTCAGGACAGCGAATGTTACGAGAGTGTGTGTGAACACCGCGAATACGGCTGCTTTCAGAACGGTGATCTTCATATAGTGTGATCCTTCAATATGTTATGAAGCATGGTGCCATTTCGATACGCTGATTCACTTAGGATCATTGTCGCAATGGTTAGCAGCAGTTTCGAGGTACATGAAATTGCCCACTTAGTCTCCATCGCAATGTCATTTTTTGATATCCTTAGAATGCCAGCCGTTGCACTTCCGTATAAAGTAGTCTGCATTAATGTTGAATAAGAAAATAGAAAGCATCTCGTTCTGAACTCCCTAGGTAGTGTGGTATCGGCTGGCAATGATTCTTCAATTTTGACAAAGCATTTAGTCCGGCATTATATACCTAACAGGTTTATCATTGCCTGTGGAGTGCTGTAATAACGAATGATACACTACATTATGAGCGATGAACTGAATCGAAGGCTATACTGAAGTCCAGGAATGTCCCATGCCAGGGAAGTTAGTAGCTTAATCACCGCTCGATGATTCGCTTCAGCACAAAGATGTTTTCTGTGCTTGAGTGCCCACTTCGGAAGTGTGTTTAATCAGTTCGCAGCAAACTATTGATGGGAATCCATCATTGATTTGCGCGCAGGCCTGCTCGAACAGCGACAAGGGGGCGATTCTTCGATAGTTGGTACAGTCGGTGCGACTCCCATTCCTGAAGATTGGGATGGCGTGTTTCTTCTAGTCTTCATGGTTCATCGACTTCCTCCTGATGCGGTCAAAAGGCCACATAAATTCAGTGGAGGATTTTTTCACTTTTGCGCTTCAGGATTTCTGCCCCAATTTCGTCGTTTCTACAAAACTTTCATCTTCGGCAGTATTGCCTCGAATCTGTTCGATCGATGTTGGTCGCATTCAATATCTATAACTGTTCCGACGTCCTGTTCCATTTGGAGATTACCGCTCGAGTAGAGGGCCTGTTGAGGAGCTCTGCGAAGTGCTCGGCCTATCGTTTCTGACGGTACTCAGGGTCTTGCATTGGCTTGTTGAATTGCTGGTAACAAGCTGGAGGTATGCTTTTGTTTGCCACCTTTGACAGTTGTATTCACTTGGCTTCTTCAGGTCCTCTTTCGCCGCCGCCATTTCCAGATTTAGCGCTTCAGAATCCAGCCATCGTGTTTCGTTATTGCGGTAGCTTCTGTTGACCGTTTTGATGGTAAAGTGATGCAGACATTTCTTTGTCTCGCCAAGATCATGTAATGACGTCTGCTTCTCCACGTTTCTTTCTTGGCGGCCCAGTTGAGCTACTTCGTCTTTCTGCTGCTGAAGCCAGTATGTACGGGTGCTCTGTGATAGTATTGCAATAGAGGAGGTAGTCCGTTTCAAGTACGTTGAACACCTTTTCATTGGTAACTATTGGTCTTGAAGAGAACTTAGACTAGAACTAGTCAGAAATGACACGAAAGGGTCGAATATCAAGAAAAACTGCAAAGTTACTATTCCTAAAGCAGCCATATTCTCAGTGTCCGTATGCAGTCTGGAAATATCTGTCGTGAGACGTCATGAAGCTTGTTTTTTAGCTCCAAGCAACATTATATGTGCAATATCGTCAAAATTATAAACGGCAAGAAGGAAAGTGCGTTATCGTTGGAAAGTCGGTCTTTTTGCACTTCTCATCGGGCCATTCTGGTGCCTTTTCTTGAAATTGGTGGTGCAGGCGCTGATCTCCATTTCCATACCAGGAGGGTTATGTTTAAGGCAGAGTCGATAGCCTGCCAGACTATGTTCCCTTCCTACAGATTAGTGCTCATTTATCAGTCTTGGGCAACTGCGGCAGCCCGGGCCGAACAGACGATTACATCGTCAACTAGTGCAAAGTTAATCTAGAACGTTCTAAAAAGGAATCACAACGTTTCATATGCTAAAAACTGGCTCATTTGCCTGGTTGTCAGAGTTAGACCTCGGCCCATGGACGTTGCTAGCATGCGCAACGCTGAAAGATCAACTTTGGAAGGATGAAATGGGAGTGACCCTGACCGTGGCTCGAACCGAGACCACGTGGTTCTGTGTCTTCTACCAACTGAGCGACCCCATTCGAAAACAACGTGCGGTAAGGTCTTTACTTACGGCAGTTCATGGTTGCGACCAAGATTGCCGTCAGATGGAATTGAACGAAGCCTATCTCTTACTCATTGTACCACCACGTCATCTTAAAAGTGGAATGGTAGTAGAATCAGATGGTGAACAGGCGAGTATGCGATGAATGGCGCCTATTTTTGGCCTAAAACTGGCTAAGAAATTACTGTCACATTCAGAACTTATTGTACACTTGAGACGCACAATTTGGAGGACGACACCTGAAAGTGCCTCATTCTGAAAGATTGGCAGGTGACGAAAAATATGGCCTTTACCACTGCAGTGAGCGCTGTTTATTGTAAATCTGAAATACTATTTACAGCAGTCAAACCAGAAATCTGTGTTTCTCGAATTAAACTTCGATAGCCTTAGTCTAATATCGTAGTAGCAACCATCTATTCCAATCTTAAAATCATGAACTTCTTGATTTAGGTCTTCAGATGCATGCAAAAGCATTTCGTATGGGTTTTAACTGTTTAAAAAATTTAACAGGTAGAAGTCGTTGCGCCAGTGTGTTGATGTTCGAAAGACTTATTCTTCGCGGTTTAACTCATGTGACAAGTGCGTCGCGGTTTCACTCTATTTTATTATCTTACACTTTTCAACGTCAGATAGCATTGTCAGAGACTGCGTCAGTAAAAAATTTATTGAGGAAACTCACACTATACCTTATGCAACACAACGGCTCCTGCCATGTTTAAACGCAAAACATGGAGAGTTTGAATATCGTTGCCGAGTAATGAAAATAATGTTCTGATCCATGCGACTTATGCTAATTGATTGTTTTGTCCACATCTAGCCTAGGGCAACCACTATTAGTCAGTTTCGATGATCGCCTATTCTGTTGAGACGTAGGATTACCAGCAATGGGCAATGTCTCCAATGTTTACGATCCTGTGCCAGTTTATCAACCAATATCTGCACTATCTCTTTGAGTGAGATTTTCCAATTTTTGTGAACTCTCTGCCACTATTGTTCCAGAGGAATTTTATTGAAAGTGCTTTAATGATGCTCGCTGTACATCTTCTAGTTCAAAACGTGTGGCTGATTGGTATCTTGATCATCTCAGTGATGAGATCTTCGACAGCTGCCCATGTGCTGCTACACTAGCGGTTGCAGATGGGGGTGAAATAGATTCTGAAATAAGGAATACTCCTGGCAAAAAATATGGGCCTCAACTTTCTTTCAGGTACGCTTCTGTTGCTAAGAATTACATACCTCTGCAGAAAGAACTAATGGATTTAAGCAAAACTTGGTTTCGTCCGATCAGCGATTCATCGATGAACAAAGATTTGACTTTAGAGTGGCCGTCTGGACAAAAGAAAGAATTTAGTGATCACATGACTTGGAGCTAATATAAATGCTTCGGATTTCAGACATGTTATATTATCGTTACTGATAGAGGGGAGAAACTTAACACAATCATTCGTCGATCGATGACAGCACAGGAAAATGGTACAGATGACTGATGGCGAACAAAGGA